AAGAGGGTGGTTAAATTGCTGCACCCGTTTCTGGTCACACGCAGTGCTTAGTGTTCTCCAGGCACCATGGACCATGTAAAAATGGGAAGTCGCCCAGATAAGAAGCAGCAGTTAGTAACTTAGATTCTTCAAGATGTTTTCTTTGTGTGCGCTCTGTACTGTGCCACCTTAGTCTCAGTCCTCTTCACAGCAGTCTCACTCCGTAGAGAATATGATACTGCTAAAATACTAGGAGGTAGTTGAAGCAATCTCTTCTCTTACCCATTTAATCCCTTTCTGAAGGCAGCAATGATTGCATGTAGTATCTGAAAGGCTACTGGTGACCAAAAATCTCTGCTGTAATAGTGTCATTAGGTTCACGTGCACCAGTTAGGGGATGGGCCTCAAAGAACTTCCCTTGCTCTGCCGTTTCGTGAAATAGGTGAATAGTCATTAAAGAAGTCTATCCAATTTTCACAGTTTTGATTCGAAATGGTCACTGAAGAGAAGAAGATGCAGTTAAAAACATATACTAAAGATAGTGAAGTTTTATCCAGGCCAAAAGGCTTGTTGCATTGATTTTCCCAGTCCTCCTTCCCCTAAAGACCAACTTAAAAAAAAAAAAAAAAGAAAAAGTGAAACAAAGCAAACTCCAACTGTTCTTTAGAGGAATAGATTAATGACAGTAAAAATGATTGAACAAAATATTTTCTAGGGTTTTATCTAGGATCCAGGAAGAGCTGTCTTTTCTTGTTTAATGCCTGGAATGAGATATCCTGTGTCTGGAAGGTGTCTAGCATATACTTAGAAATATACCTAGAAATAAAAACTGGTTTTGATGCTTTGAAAAATTATTCTAGCAACAAGTTTCCATAGTTTATGATTGTGGTAAGATAAATTGTGAGACACAAAGATAAATTAAACACGAAAAATACTGAGATGGATTTGATTCAGAACTGACCAGGACAGAATTTTCTTTAAAATGTAATGCTGAAGTTAGAATAAATATTCTTTAAACTTTTACATGAGTATCAATTAATACTACAAAGCATGAATGATTTTTGTTGGTTTTGCTTATGTTTTGCATAGCAGGTTTATTTTTATTACTAGAGAACACTTCTGTCTAAGTATTTGAATATAGTATTTTTCTTTATTTAGCAAGTTTTCAGCATAAGTTTCTATTTGCATTACTGTTCACCTTATTAGTTTCCTCATTTTTGTTATGTCTTTCAAACCTCATAGAAAGCTGTTTTATTTCAGTCTCTGTAGGTTTCTGCGTGGAGTCTGAGTTTCTGCTGAAAAGCTCCTGTTGATTTCAGCGGGAACTCTCTGTAGAGAAGGCTTGCAGAAACCAGTCATATAATTGAATCCATCTACTCATTCATGAAAAACTCCTATCCAGTGCTCAGTTATTGTGAAAACTTCCCAAAACCAATTTAAGTAAAAGAGCTGAAACAGAGCTGAAAGACCACCCAAAGTACAAGAACCAAAATAAGCTTTGTCCTTTTCTTTTCCCGTTATTCCAGAATGTGTTTTCATACTCCCACATCTAGCAACGGGAAAGAAAGGCCACGCTTACTGATAATTACCAGAAATCTTCTAGAATCATAGATTTTTTTAAAAAAAAATAATTGTCAGAATCAGGTGTTTCTGAAAAGCTACCCTATCAGCTTCACAGTCCTCATGTGAAGAAAGGCTAAAGGCTCTCCTTTTTGTGCTGTTGATCTACAATAATTTGATCTTTATTTAATCTATTTTAGCAAAGCAGTCGCACTGCAGTAGAATTTGCTGTTTTAAATTTTAGATTGTTCCCACATGTTCTGTCTAACATCTGCTTGGCGTTTGAAGCCAAAGTTTCCCCTTTTTCTGTAGGCATTCAGAGCCATTTACTGAATAAGCCAGTGTCAGGATGAATGACAGGAAATTAAAGTTGAATTATTTAGCTTTGGAAAACTGTACAGAACAATACATTACTGAAGAATGCCCAGTTGAAGAAACTAAAGTAAACTAAAAGTGACTGCAGGTGGTCTAATCTGTCCTTAGTGTACTTGGCCACAGCTTCCTGTTCTTAGGAAAGGCAAGGATACCCAGCTCTGAAAAACAAATGTCATGGGTTTGTTTGGTGTCTATTGTGCAGTTTTGTAATACAGATAACAGAGCTTAGATAGCTTAGTGATTGCATGGCTTTGATTACAATAGGAGCTTTGTCATAGAAGTTTTAGAACAGCTGAGAGGAAGTTTTGGCAAAGAGCACCGTCACACAAACACAGTTTTTAAATAGTCAGAAGTTGTCACTGATTTATCTCCATTGCTTCTCTGTTCAACAGTAAGCCTGGATGCAGGGAACTGAGCGAAAACTTGGTTGGCCTTCCAGGTGTATAGCTGCCCTAGTGAGAAGGCATTAAAAAATTATAACCGGTGGTTCCCAGTGTTTCTGAGAAGCCTACCCTCACCATTTCTCATGGTCATGCACCCTTACTGCCAAGCTTCTGAGCACTGCTGATAGTAGCTCCCTGGATCAACATCAGACCGCTTTTGTGAATTTGGGGAATGCAGGCAAACTGGAGCACCCGAGAGCTTGGTGTCATGGAAAGAGCAGCAGCAGCAAATAGGGGGACTTGCAGGCTGCAATTTATTTAGAAAACTGGAGTTTAGAAAACAGGAGTGCAACCCTGCAGATCCAGGAATAGTACTCACTCATTCCGTTGTTTTTCCCTGCAAAAGTCAAGGTCAGCCACTGTTCAATCTTTTTTTGTTGCTGAATGCTAGTCCTTGGCCATATCCAATTTATTAGCTCAGCAGGTGAGACAAATACATGGTGAAAATAATCCAGGAACAAACCCTTAAAAGTGATGCTATGAGGAATACTGAGAAATTTTACAACCTTAAAGAATTTGATCTTTTCAGGAAAATTCCTTTCTAATGCCTGCAAGGCCATGTATTGCTTAACTCGTGGCAAAAGAAAACACAATCTTAATATATTAAGATGAGCTGGAGAGTGCAAGTGAGAAAAACGTTGAACCAAGTTTTGGCTGAATATTTTGCAGCGGGGTAGTCTGTGGTCTTCATAGGATCACTGCAGCTGAACATAGTGGCAAATGAAGTGATGCTTGGAAGGAGGCCTCTTTAAAGAGGTGTCTGCCACTGTCCGTTTCTTCTTCGTCTAGCTCAAATGCTGTTGTGCTGCACGGTATTTCATGATGTGAACATATTCTATGTCTGCTGTTGTAAGGAAAGACCACTGTTTTTTTAATAGCTTAGATATAGTATTCCTGAGATCTCTTGGCTTTCCCCTCAGCCAACTGCATGCTCGTACAAGGGGAAGAGCACAAATGCTTACTGCTCCCCTAACTGGGTCTGTAGCAGAATCTACACTTTTGTTACGGAGAGCTGGGGCAGGGACCAGTCTGCTGATGTAGTAAATGCCATTTGGAGCACTGCATGAGTGAAGTTTAACTTAACTTTTGCCAGACCTTAACTTACGTGTAATGCTGAATTTAACTTTTGCCATACCTTTTCACTTTCCATTTTTTTTTTCATATTATCTTGGGAATACAGACCTCACTGAAAAGCTAAAAGTATCATCTTTCTGTATTATGAAAACAGTCAGTCTCTACAGATTTCTGAGACTCATTTTCAGTCCAAATGTCAAGATATGGTGGTCTCAGGTAGAACTGCATTTAATTGCTCCTTTTGATTTTTTTAAGCTTCTGAAAGTCTAGTGTAAATAATATGTATTCTCTACTCACTGAGTGGAGAATAGATAAGAGTAAATTGCTATTAGTAGGTAACAGTAATAGTAAATAATGGTAAATTGTTATCTAATGCACTTATGATGTTCTCCTGCTTTTAATGAATGCAACTTCCAGAATTCCCAGAAAGTCATGTGTGTGTGTGCATGTATTCATTCTGAAGTTTGGGGGAAACTCTCCCTCCCTTCAAATCTTAAAATATTCTGTGAAAGGAAATTTCTGGGCTATACTGGAACGTTACAGTTTATACTGATCTAGCTACATTTATATAGGCTTTGTATTAATTCATTTCTGTTTTCAAACAGGAAAAAAATATACCTGGTGAAAATTTTGTACACACAAACTCTCCCTTGGATTACGTAGTTTATGAAACGTGAAGAAGAAATTTTGAGTTATCTGTAATTTGATAGAAATGTGAAAGTTCCCAATAACTTGTAGAAATGCTGTATAGTTGGGCATACCTTACTGAGTGTGAGAGACCTCTCATATCCCTTGGGTACCAAAAAGTTCCTTTGCCGCCGCCTCTGGTCAGTTGACAGTGTTGTAAGGGGTACCAAGGAGAGCTGGGATGGCAGTGGTGCACCTGGAAATAGTCAACTTAATCAACTTAATTCCCCCCTTCAGACCCTCTCAAATATGTCACTTGAAAAACAAATGTCAGAAATTATTGGAAAGGCAATAATGTAACTAGCTTGGATATTTGTAAGGAGCTGTAATTTCTAGGGTAGTTTTTTACCTCCCATATGATTCTGTGCAAGATATTTTGTGAATATCTGTGGTGAATAATGTACATATTACAAGACAGCAAATATTCATTCCATTCAAACTTCAGGAACTTATTTCACATTAGTCAAATAGAAATTGCAGCAGAAGATATATAGAATTAATTTTAACCTGTGAATTCTGGCTTTTTAGTGATAAGATTTTTTTCAGTGGCAATACTGTTGTATCAATTCCTTTAAACAACCTCATCAGTAAGTTTAGAAAATTTTATATTTAACAATTTTCTTCTTTTTTAGAACACTTACTGCTGAAGAACTTTGGGGTGTAGAAAACATGCATGATTATTCCGTGTTTTTGATCTCATGAAAATCATTTGTCAGGTGTAGAAATGTTTGTTTATTGTGAATCTCCTGCTAACACATTCTACAGAAGAATGAGAGTGCTGGTTACAGATTCTCAAACTTCACACAGTTCTTTCTACAACTTTGAACTGAAATGTTTTTCATTCATAAATACAGACATGAAACCAATGTGCTTTAATTTCAGATTTAACAAATCAAGTAGAGACAATTGGACTCAAGCTTCAGAAAGTAACAGCTGAAATGGACCACTACAAAAAGCTGTTAATGTAAGACTTTCATTTGCTTGATTATTCTGCAACTGTGCATCAAGGTGTAGTTGAATAATTTTTTCAAAGAGAGAGAACTGTACTGCTGCTTGTCAGAGTGGTTTGAGAAGGTTATGACCAACAGAGAAAATGTTTTAATCTTCATATTAAATAGCCTGTATTCGTAACTGACTGAGCATGTCTGTGGAAGTAGGGATTTCTTTCTCCAGCTGTGTTTAATGATGCAGCAAAGAGGAGGGTTATGTCAACTCTATCTGACACTTCATTGAATGCTCAAGTTTAGGATAAACTTTGTGAAACCCACATAACTTATGGACTAGAAATGTATGTGGAAAGTAGTAGTTCACATTCTAC